AGTGTTTCGTTCTGTTGTGCATAGGGTCACTATGAGTCGGTACCAACTCGATGGCACCTAACAACAACAACAACTTGAAAAAAGGGTAGTAAATTTTTATAGGCTGGACTTGGTTATATATGTATACTTTACTAGCACTGACTTGTATTTTTGTGTTGTAGTTGCATAAAAAGTGTTTCTGTACCCTTGCCATATAACACGTATATCAGTGTGTGTCACAGTTAAACAAAGATTCAATTAATCTATCCTTAGCCTACTCTCAAATATGGGAAAAAGATGGGTTATTTGGATTTGGGGGAATGTCTAAAAGTCTTCCTTGCCCAGTTTGACTCTCACTCATGATCATCTCAGAATCCACAGACTAATTTCCATATGACTGTCATCCAAGCCTAAACATGGTTTGGCAAGAATACTGAGGACTGGAGTATCTGAATGTCGTTCTGTTACTGTGCAAACACCAACCATGCTTAAATATGGAATTCCTATGCAATGAAAAACCACATACCAGCAGCCAAATGAAAGCTTTTATTCAGATTTTATGAGTCCTGGTATGGTGCTGTGGATTAATGCACTGGGTTGCAAGGTTGGTTTGAAACACAAGGTTGGTGGTTCAAGCTCATCAGCTGCTCCTTGGAAACCCATACAGGGCCACTATGAGTTGGAATCAACACGACGGCACTTAACAACAACAAAATGTCTTTACAATATTCTGCCAAGGCATCACCAAGACTTTTCATTTAGAGGAAAGTAATTGTTTTACCAGAAGAGAGGGTTGATTTCTATATGCCAAACTTGAAACACTGAAAAAAAGACAGGTAGATACAAACAGATATGAAGAAGGCCAGCAGCACTATTCTATTATATCAGGGGAACAAAAATCAAGATTTTTGAAAAATTTCAAACAGTAAATAAACGAAAAAGTTTAGCTTCTGTGGTCACATCTGGAGAAGAGGAAGAGAAATGCAAAGCTCCCCCTCCCTTGGAAATGTATTAACACTAGAATGAGGATGTAGTAACTTCTGGCAAGAATTGGAACTCTTCGTCCAGTGGCCACAATTCAGAGTTAGAACTGGGACAATACTTAGGCCTGATCATGCTCATGCTCTTACCTAATGATCTCAGTGGCTACCTACTTCAGATCTTGTGGTGGTGGTAGTGTGCTGTGGTTTCCCTGTGTCGGGTTTCTGAGGCTATAAATCTTTATGGGCGCAGAAAGTCTCATCTTTCTCCTATGGAACAGCTGGTAGCTTCGAACTGTTGACTTTGAAGTTAGCAGCCTGATACATAACCACTATACTAACAGTGCTCCTTTTAGATCTCATATTGCTGTTGTGTGCCGTGGAGTCGGTTCCGACTCATAGCAACCCTGTACAGAGTTTCCAAGGCTGTAAATCTTCACGGGAGCAGAAACCCTCATCTTTCTCCTGCGGAACAGCTGGTAGTTTCAAACTGCTGACCTTGTGGTTCGCAGCCCGATTTGTAACCACTACCCTACCAGAGCTCCTTTAGATCACATAGTAGGTCCCTACTTGAGTCTCACAGGCTTCTGGAACTCAGCATACACCAGATTCTTTTGTAAACCATGCCCAGGCCGCTTAGATTTCTGGGTACTGTGAATCATCCCCCAGACAGATCTGCTTTGAGGAGTTTAGGGGAGAAGCAGCGGCAGCAGCAAGTAAAATCAGATCTTGTCCATTGTTGCTTTTGTCTGGGAGGAGGTAGGACAAACAAGACATCCCAACCTCCTAAAAACCAGGCTGCCCTCCTTTGCTACCTAGGCCTCAACATCTGTAGACACTGCATGCCAAACCAGCCCAGGGTTGTCCAAAGGAAATCCTCTAAGAATGACTATACAACATCAATGGGCCTGGGTTTAGATTGAGGTCTGCAGTGAGTTTGAATGTAAACAACCCTGTAGGAGCCTTACAACAGCCTTCTATCCCTACACTTCTGGTTTGTGCCTCCTTCTTTCTTGGCAGATGGTCAGCTTTGGTGTGAAGCATGCAGAAAATGAGAAATTATACAATTAGGTAGCATGGCTTGGCTGTAACCTTTCAGCAGACATTTATGCATTCCACTTTGGTTTGACAGGGTAACCTAACTATTGTGCCAGTTTATGATGCGCTTCTATCCCCAAGCTATTCTGAATGGGGAAAGAGAACTTTAACTCTTGACAGTGCAGATGAGCCATCCACACCGTGTCCAAAGAGACAGTGATTAAATCAGTAAGATGGGTTAAATACATTTGAGCTGTACTCAGTCCATTTTCATTAGGAGCAGTATGTTTCTCCAGTGCAATGGTTCTTCATGTGTGGTCCCTGGATCAGCTGCATCAGCATTACTTGGGAACTTGTTTAAAAATTCAAGACCCACTAAGTCAGAAACTCTGGGAATGGGACTTGGCAATTCATGTTTTAACTGGAATTTCAAGCAGGTTCTTTCTGGTTTGACCTCCTGCTGAGAATTTACATTTCCACTCCAGATACACAAACAAAAACCGCAAGGTAAAAAAAACCCCAAGGGAATCCTAAAAAACCCCAAGTGATTCTGATGGACACAGATTCAGTATGTCTGGGGTGGAAGGACAAATTCACAGCAGGGAATCAAACCAGAAAACATCAAAGTCCTTCAGGTGAGTCTGCTGCAGAGTTGAGAACCACCTCTCTGTTGTCACAGTTCGTTTGACTGTTTGTGGTAAAGGGCAGACTTCAGAAAACAGGCTGGGGAGCTTCCTGGCAGAAATAGGGTAGGGGAGAGATTGATGCAAAGTTGTTAGATCACCACCCCACTTCCGGAAAAAGAGAACTGCCCAGTGTTCTCTGTGGTCTGTGACGGTAAGTGATTGGCAAACATGATTTTTCTCTAAATAGGAGATAACAGAAATATTTTTGCCAGATTTTCAGGTCATTTAAGATGTAAAATTGGAGTCCTAGGTGGCGCTGTAGGATAAGCTTTTGACTGTTAACCACAAAGTCAGCTGTTCAAACCCAGAAGCCACTCCTCAGAAACCTTTTACAGGGTTTCTATGACTCAGAACTGACTCCATAGCACTTAATAAGATATAAAACAAGGCGGTGGGGGTGGGGGTGGTTTACTCTGGATATTTAAAACCTATGTCAAAGCAACAAGCCCCAATGCTTTCTCTTTTATGCACTTAGGCATGGAACTTCTCACACACTGCAGATAAGCCATGCAGAGAGAAGTAAGTCTTAATTGCTAGTTTCATCTGATCCTGAAAACAAGGCTGCACCTACAAAACGCAGATGATGGCTTGCATTTTCTTAACCCAAAAGTTTTGCCAGATGCTATGTTTTGTGTTAACAAAGAATTAGTAAGAAAATGTTACAAACCTATGTGCACCTGTTTTATGTATTCAATTAATGAGGCTTTATTATCATTCCAGAAAAATGGAAGCTTCTCTTCACGAGGGTATTTACAGCATGATAGCTCCAACGTAATTTCAAAACACTGGGCCCAGATGTAGTTGTAATCTTGCATTCCACCTAAACACAAGCATATTTAATTACTGCTAAGGTCTGGGACTGGAGTAGAGCCAAGTATCACGTACCTTAAGGATGAGTGAATTCGACAGTTGCAGGAAAAGTACTTGTAAACAAGAAAAGATGAATTTGACATATTAACATATAAACTTAGGACTTAACATTTAACTATGATGGCATGACAAGGCAATCTTAACTATTCCCATATGGGTAACTGGATCAGAGCTGGATTCAACTGTGTACCTTCAGATTATATATTTTCCTAAGTCACATTTTAAACAGATATAGACTAGAGGAGCATCTAGTGAGTTTGAACCATAGACCTGATGTTAGCAGTCCAGTGCATCCTGTAGCACCACATCAAGACTCTGTAGACTAGAATGTTGTTGTTGTTAAGTGCCTTTAAATCGGTTCTGACTCATAGTGACTCTGTATAGGGTTTCCAAGGAGTGGCTGGTGAGTTTGAACCACCAACCTTGTGGCCCAAACTGACCTTGCAATCCAGTGCTTTATCCCACAGTGTCACACCAGGACTCCATAGACTAGAATATACAAATGCTTGAATATACAAATATTTAAAATACTTGTACAACTTATTTTAAAATACATTTATTATGTGAAGTTAAGTATGTTCATTTTGGTGGGGATGAGAGTGCTCAGTATTTACTGAATATACAGTCCTGGTGTGGTGTTGTGGGACAAAGCACTGGACTACAAAGTTGGTTTGAACCACAAGGTCAGTGGTTCAAACTCAGCAGCTGCTCCTTGGAAACCTCATATAGGGTCACTATGAGTTGGAACTGACTTGATGGCACTTAACAACAACAACTCATTATTAAGCTCATTACTGAAACCTGGTGTGGTGCTGCAGGATAAATCACTGGACCTCAAGGTTGGCAGTTCAAACCCACCAGCTGTTCCTTGGAAACCCTATAAAGAGAGGGTCACTGTGAGTTGGAACTGACTTGACGGCACTTAACAACAACAACACTATTGCTAGGTACTGTTTGAAGTGCTTTGAATCAACTTGTTTCATCTTTGGGGCAATTATTATCCCTGGTTTACAGATGAGGAAAGTTGTTCGAGGATGTTAAGTAATCTTCCCAAGGATTCTAGCTAAGAAATGGTAGACACCAGAGCACAGGTCCTCTTACTCTCCACCACCCCAGAACAACCCAGTTGCAGTGAGTCAAGTCTGACTCATGGTAACCCTGTGTATCAGAGTAGAACTGCACCCCTTAGTGCTTTCAGTGGCTGATTTTCCAGAAGTAGAGCATCAGGCTATGTTTTGAGGCATCTGTGGGTGGACATGAACCTCAAAACTTTCAGTTAGCAGCTGAGCAACTTTCTACCACCCATGGTCTCCTTTTCCATCCATGTACCTATCATTCCACTAAATTGCTTCTGGAGACAAAAGAGACATGCCCTAATGACTCCTTGGAGGTAAAAGACACAGGTGCCTGTGGTTTCAGGGGTATCTGGTTTCAACCCTGTCACACATCTCTTTTTATCACTGTTATCAGGAGGCCTGGTGGTTTAATGCTCAGTGGCTAACCAGAAGGCCAGAAATCTGAACCTACCAGTGGCTCATGGGTGGAAAGACCTAGTGATCTGCCCCTGTAAAGACCACAGCCTAGAAGCCTACTCTGCTAGTTCTACTCTGATACATGGGATCGCTATGAATTGAAGTTGACTTGACGACATTTGATAAGAACAACTGCATCACAAGTATTTGTTAGCACACCTGTCTCCCCTATTAAATTTGAAGGTACGGCTATGTCCTCTCCATCCCTCTGGCATAGTTCTTGGCTCACAGCAGGTAGATGCTGTATATATCTTTGAATAAATGAAGAAGGCCCTTTGATAGTGAGGAACATGTCTGAGCATTTCCCAAACTATCAGTCTTCTCCAGTGCTCTTGTGATACTACCTGATGAAGACATGATTGAAGAGATTGTGCTGTTGACAATTCCTGAAGCCAACATAAACCAGCTGGCTTCTTTGGATGAAGTAAAAAATGAGGATAGTAGAAATGAAGAGAAACTCACCTAAGAGTGGATACCAAGAGTATCCATTTGTCACTCCATTGGGAAATTTCATGCTATTTTTACACTGATCCCCTTTCTTCATGTTGGGATTTCTTGAAGCATAGGTATGTGCAAGGTATTGAAAAACATCATCATCAGGGGTTAGGCTACGGAAGTGTAATGTCCCAGTTTCTAGATGTGAAAGAGAAACCAAGACCTTTCATTCTAGCAAATACCATAATATCATTGCAAATAAATACTCTAAATTTCCTAGAGAACAATCCTCTATTTCATTTCCCTGAAGGTTATCTCTACTCTTCTTTCTAGATTTAATGAGTATACACACAAAATAAGCCATATTCATAATCAAATTCCTCCTACATTAATTCAACAATGAAATATCCTTTTTAATCACCCTTGCTAATTTCTGGAGGACAGTAAACTTTCCTGGGGTGGGTAGTGTTGGGGTTAAATGAAACTACTATATCTTAAATCTGGTATATACTTCATCTGACAGCTTTTTGCTTTTTTTAAAAAAACTTATTTTAGACCACTTTAGGTTTATAGAAAATTAAGCAGACAGTACAGAAAGTTCTCATATACAAAGGGGCTTCAAAAAGTTGATGGGAAAATTGAATGAAAAGATAATGGGATTTCTTCCACAAACTTTTTGTATCAATTTCGTTTGATTGTTCCTTAGCACTTTTCTGACTTCTTCCTTATTTTCCTCGACTTTTCTGTGGAACTTTTAGATTTGTCTCGATTCTCTTACATCCCCTTTCAGACAATTCCAAAGCCTCTTGTCTCTCTAATGCCATTTGTTTGAGCCATTCTGTCTTGTTTCTGCATGTGAGCAGTTTTCTGCTGCTTTTTAGACATTGTGGTGGTGTTGTACTTGTATTAACTAGATAAATGTATGATAGTATATTCTTAAGCACACTCCAGTTGCCTCATGGTAGGCATGATCAGGAGATAGGCTTCTCTGATCACTGCTCTTACAGCTCTCTTCAGAGTGTTTTTAGCAGGTGTTGGTTGTAGATGCTGCTCTGGTGTATAGCGGCTGGTATTGGCTATTGCCTTATTGGTGGGGTTTTAAAGAGTGCAATTGTAATTTGGCTGTGTGGCCACAGTTGCTGTCTCTTGTCAGGTGAGGCACAAAGAGAAACTCTCCCACAAAATAGAAGAAAGGCTGAAATTCAAGACTAAACACTAAAGGCAAACATCATAAAAATCCAGGGGGGAAAATATACAAGCTAGGAAACCCAGAAAAGACAAAGAGAAACAAACAGAAAAATCACAGGAAAATATGAGTAATTCTGTAGCACCACCTAATGGACTCTTGCCTTCAAAGGTGACTGAAAAATTCCATGGTGTTCCTACTGTGCTTCACTTTTTCTTCCCTCTTCTCCTTTCCTTGCCCAAACTTTTGATAAACGTAGATCTTTTTACTGTCTCTATAGTTTGGCCTTTTCTAGAATGTCATATAGTTAAACTCATGCAATAACATATGCGGCCTTTGTTGATTGACTTCTATTATTTAACAATCTGCATTTAAAGTTCCTCTACCCATATTCTTTTAATAGGAGTCAGCAATTATTGTTCACAGTCAAATAAAGAAGGGTAAGTTATTTTAGTTTTACTCTTTAGCATGTTGCCTCTTGTGAGGTAATCCAAATTCTGATTTTAGCATTTCCCTGATGAATGTCAAGTAACCCTGTTAGCTCAGCCACACTGCCCATCTGTTGTTTATATATGCTAGGGAGGATGACTCAGTGAGGCTCTTTCAATCCCTGCCTCATTTCGGGGAAGAAGAGTTTAAGTTTATCCCTATCCAGAGGCAGAAACTTTACAGCTCCATTCAGGACCTGAAAGTCAGAGTGGGGTTACATGTTATGCTTACCTGGAACACCATTATCAAAGGGGTAACTGGCCACCAAGGCGCCACCATGGAGATTTGCCGAAAGGACAAACGTTTCTGTTTGCAGCCACTTCATGACTGCCTCTGTTTCGGGCTGCCTTGAGACATTATTGACTTCAAAAGCATCAGGGAAATTCCTATTCAGGTCATACTGGTTATAATTTTCCCTTTAAAAGAAAGAATTTTTTTTTTAGGGTTGATTGATGGTATAGGAGGAAGCTAATTTGTGCAACATGTAGGCCTTTAGTTTGGGCTTTGTTTTTCCAAATGGGAATATAGGTGTAATGATGTGGTGGGTGGGAACTTTGGGGGTCTCTTGGCATCCATATCCAATAGTCCTCCCCTGCTGGTCTATGACTTGCTCTGACCAATAGGACGTTACCTAGTGTGATGCAAGAAGAAGTTGATGAATACTTGAGTTTTAGAACTTTCCTTCTTGGAACATTCCCTTTTGGCACCCTGGCATCCCAATGCTGGCCACACAGAGAGCCCACCTACAGAAACCAGCTGACTGCCAGAATTACATTTGTAATTACACTTGTAGGCCCAGGCTATCTGTCTCACTGTGGAACAGACATCAGCTATTCCTGCACTGCCCAGCCCAATTTCTTGACTTATTGGACTGATAGTAAATGAAAAAGTTCTTTTTTTTTTTTTTTTTCAGAAAAAAATTGTGATTTGGATGAAAGTTTACAGGGCAAATTGGTTTTCCATTCAACAATTCACAAATTGTTGTTTTTTAAGTCACTAAATTTTGGAGTGGTTTGTTAATACAGAAATTGATGACTGAAACATCAGGAATGTGTTGTCTTATACAAAAAAGTGGAGTAGCCATGTTTACATACTTAAGAAAAATGTAAAACTAAATGGGACCAAGAGGTGAGATTTTATTTATTTTTGGTAATGCAAATTTTAACTTGTTCAAATGTAAATAAGTGCAGTTGAGTCAGTTCCAACTCATCCTTACTCTGTATGGGGTTTCCAAGGAGCGGCTGGTGGGTTTCACTGCCTGTTTCTGCCTGCTTTGAGACATTATTGACTTCAAAATATATTCCATCATTAAGCGTTCTTGCTTCCTCTCTTGCTTTATAATATATATATATATTAACAAAGCTTAGATTATTAACTGTCTCTACTCTCTTATGCTAAGCGTAGTGTTTACAAGTCGGACTACTAACTCCAAGGTCAGCAGTTTGAAACTACCAGCTGTTCCATGGGAGAAAGATGAGGCATTCTGCTCCTGTAAGACTTACAGAAACCCTGTGCAGGGTCACTATGAGTTGGAACCGACTCTACGGCACACCAGCACCACCACTACTTTCTTATGCTAAAGAAACTCATCGCAAATCCCTATCAACATTTTCTATTTGATTTCTTGTATATTGACCTAGTCTGTATTGCTACAGTGGGTCTGTTTTGCTCTTCCAGTCTGACTAGGGCTACATCTAACATTTATTCAAGGAAAACCTTTAATAATATGACTAGTATTAACATGAGATTATTGATTCCATAATTGTTGATTTGCTGGCAATGCCAAGAGTGCATATGAGCCACCTTGTGGTTAGCAGTCCAGTGTTTATCCTCCAGCGTCACACCAGAACTCCCAAATGTATATTAGGAATTTGTAAGGTAACTTGACAAGATAAAGTCTATTTAAATCAGAAAGAGAGTTACTCTTACTTGTGGTTAATTCTTGGATTACTGACTTAATAAATTAACTGATAATAATGAAATTAGGTATTACGAAATTAACAATGATAAACACATCGATGGGATTTCTGTCCTCAGGGAGCATGTAGTTTAGTGGACAGAGACAATAAACAAACAAAAACAGACATTAAAAATTTGGCTATGACTGTGAAGGTAAAGTACCAGTTGATACGAGAGTATAACAGTGAATCTAATATAAAAGATGACAGATAAGGAATATTGGAGGAAATGTTCCTTAAACAATGGGAAGGAGTAAGGAGTGGGAAATGGCATTATACAAAACTCCTGAGGGGAGGAAAAACCTGGGAGCTGAAGGAAATGATGTAGGGCCAGAGTGGCAGAAGAAGGGGTCTGAGGGAATGCTGTGAATGGAGTTGGAACACAAGACTAATGCAGCCAGTTCAGAACTTTACACCTGATTCTAAAAGTAATGGGTGGCCCTCAAGGGTTTTCAGCAAGTCAATGACATGCCACACTTTCTCTCTGCCAGTGAGGGGCTTCTGACTCATAGGGACCCTGTGTATGATTTCCAAGGCTGTAAATTCTTATGGGAGCAGAATGCCTCATCGTTTTCCCTCAGAGTCGATGTGAGTTTGAACTGTTGACCTTGCGGTTAGTAGTCCAGCACACAGGTGTGGTGCTATCCTCCTTTTGACTGGGTTAACAAGTATCTGATGGGCCTTTGGTTTGTTTTTGTTTGTTTTTAAGTAAAGACAGGCCAATTCATCCTTACCTTCCCTGATTGTAATAACAGTCAGGCTTTTTGACAGCTTCGAATCCATCTGGGTTCATTGAAGGCATGATGTGTATCCTGGTACTATTGATTAGATTTGTGATTTCGGGGTCTTTTCCATCATTGGTTATGAGATATTCAATCAAATGGAGCAGCAGTTCCCGCCCAACACTCTGTATGTATAAAAGAGAAAAGGACAATACTGGTCAGAGGCAATAGGGGAAACGGATCCTAAAGTAAAAATCCCTCCAAAGAGGTCATGGCATAATGATATTTTAGATCAAAACGAGTTTGTGGAAGCATTTCTTCTCAGGCATACTGGATACTCTGACAAGTGGCAATCAGTCACAATCTGTGCTAAAATGATTTGTTAGGAAAAGGTAAAGTATCATCTTGTAAGTAACTCAACTCTTCTAACAATGAATTAGAGCATGAACCTTAAACCAAAACTCTCCCCTGAAGTTCTTAAAAGCAAACAGTAGTTAGCATAACAAAATATCTATCTAGAGCATTGTGCTCTTTTAAGAACTGTCTATGTGAGATCAAATTGATACCAGCAACTTAAAAGATTAGACAGGAACTTTAGAGATCAGTGAGTTTATGTTACTGAGAGAGGACCACCTCAGAAATGGAGGGGAGGGAGCATGGTTACACAACTCAAGGAACATCATCGATATTACTACAGGGTACATTTAGATACTGTTGATTCGGTATATGCTTTGCTGTGTATATTCTCAACAAGAACAAGAAAATAAAATTTAAAAAATGAATTAGAGTGGAGTAAAGGTTATTCTTTTTATAATATTTCTTATTGGCTTGTCTTCCAGAGTACTTTGTGTAGTGGGAGAGAAAGGGGTGGAGTTACAGAGAAGGGACAGAAATTGTGTGTTTCCATGAGAATATGTTGGTGCTTATCATGCATGTCCTGGTGGATATTACATTAATTGAGAACCAGTGCATTAGAAATCTACACAGGTAGATTTCACTAAAGAAAAATGCAAGTTTAATTTAAATAGGTTTCTGATTTCCATGCTGAATTATTTCTAGAAATGTAATCTTACACAACTGTGCAATTTTTGTCATATCTGTGTATTTCTGATTTCTATACTCGTGTGTGGCACTGTAGGATACATGACGTGCTAGACCACAAAGTTGGTTTGAACTGCAAGGTCGGTGGTTCAAACTCTCCAGCTGCTCCTTGGAAACCCTATACAGGGTCACTATGAGTCAGAATGGACTCAACGGCACTTAACAACAATAAACAGTGTTTCTGAAACTTTACTCACATGTCATTTTCACATTTTTATGTCATATCTGGCTCACTTTGTACTTATCTTAAAAATGAACTTTGTATCACTATCATTTTGCTAGATATGTATTTTAATATACATTTAAATTAAAGCATTACTATTTTTTAAAAAAAGTTATCACATTCACCTACAATTAACATACCTTCAATATTTCCAGTGACTGGAAAAGTGAGGCATTATATGAGATCTCACTCTATAATCCCCAAGGGAGAGATTTACTATTTCTATTTATTTTTTTAAAAATTAATTCATATTTCAGCCAGAATATTGGAAGATTGCTTTATGTCAATTTGCTCCCTGTCATTCTAGTTTCAAGGTCCCTGTTCCTGAGCACAGTATGTGAACGTCTTCCATAAGATCAGGTGTTTCTGAGGAACTAGTAAGGGGGAAGTCAGGGGCACCAGGTGATTAAATAAGGGCAGAGCTGCATGTAATGTAGACCGGGGCTAGGTAAAGATTTAATGGGGCCTCAAACGAATTTCCAATTACAATTCCACTGCAAGAAGTTAACACTGTGACGAAGGACAGGCAATTCTTCAATGGTAATTCCTCACTTTCTCCCTATCAATGGCATCAGACCACATTTTATGAATTTGTTATAGCAATAATGAATAATGAACCAAAAATAATAAACAAAGAGTAATTGACATTGGAACTGAAAGTGTTTGGGATATCTGAATTATGTAATCATCGGTAGTCATCAAGTTCAGAGTGGAAATGTACTCAACTCTGACCCTTTTTCCTTCTTATTTCTATTACTGTCTTTTCATTACCTTGATTTTTGTTTTGACAGTCAAAATTGTCACTTGAAAAAGCCCCCACAAACTAATACCCAAAAAAGTCAAGGAAGCAAATACAGGCTTTTCAATTCTAGAATATGATACATTTTGAAAGTTCAAGTACTTTTGGAAGTGACCACAAAGAGCTGCTTACTGGCTGCCAGAAGCCAGCGGCGGGAAGCTTCTATAGGAGAACTTACAATTAGGTGACTTTAAATATGAAAATAATGGTGCATTAAGGAGCTCTTCTCACAGGAGATGGAGAAGAGAAAAAGGAGGGGGAAGTGGACTAGGAGTCCGCTTGTAGTTCATTAAATTTCTAAATGCTGGTTAGAGGCCGTGGGACAGTTTAATTAGAGGAAGTATCAAGGAAAACCTGAAGCAGACCTGAGTTTCAAGTCCCAGGTCAAGTCCCCACGTGTTTCTAAATGTGCATCTCTCTCTTAACTAGCTATCTGTGTTGGCAATGAACTTCATCCAACCAAAAGCAAATGAAAACACAGAAGGGTAGAAAAGCCATGCTGAAAAGACTGGGGTTGATTTGGAATTTAGTTGGATATAAACAAACAAACAAAAAATCCACTGCCATCTAGTCGATTCTGACTTAGGACAGAGTAAAACTGCTCCACTGGGTTTTTGACAGAAACAGACTGCCTCATCTTTCTCTCATGGAGCTCCTGAACCGGTGAGTTTGAATAGCCATCCTTTTGGCTAGTAGTCCAACACTAACACTGCACATCCAAGGCTTCTTTTTAGCTGATATTGTTATTGTTAAGTGCCGTCGAGTTTGTTCTGACCCTGTATAGGGTTTCTAAGGAGTGGCTAGTGAGTTTGAACCTCTGACCTTGCGGTTCAAACCAACCTTATGGTCGAGTGCTTTTCCTATAGCGCCATAGGGCTACATTACGCATATGTGGGAAGTACAGAAAGATACGTAAATGCTAACAATTATAATGACCCAAAAAGGGAAGGGAGAGGGAAGGAGGGGAGGGGAGAATTTTCATGGAGCTAAGTTCTTCACTTTTTATAGCAAGAAATCATAAGATAATAACAAATGTTAACTATACTTTCTAATGACTATAATTTTACAGTTTTTCTATATTCCTTTTTCTTAGCTTTAGATAATTTCTTAGTTTTGAGAAAATGTTTATCAAGTTCATCAATTCTTGGGTTTCACTTCAGTTTTATTCTTTAATTAAAGCCAAGTTTCATACTTCTTATTTAAAAAGAACATATATACTATACATATATGGTCATATTATTTTAATTCATCTCAAGGTCTTACTATAGAAATACATAAGAGATCTCTAGAATGATGCCTGGCAGCTACTGATGATGGTTATTTCTAGGTGATGGTATTCTGAATAATTTTTATTTACTCTTGGTTTTCTACTATCATTTTTTTAATGAAAGAAAATGTCTCTTTTTAAAAGATGATAAAATCATGCTTCTCTCAAGGAAACAAATATGTAACCATATATTTTCTATTTGCCTCAGTCGTCCACAAGAAATCCCAAGTTCTTAATTGCAGAGGGTAGATAAAAATCTTGGAAATATGGTAAAGAGTCAGATAATTAAAAAAATTTCTGAGGTAAACAAACCACAATTTCAAAGGAAGTGGAACAGTCTTCTTTTTGTTGGGTTATATTTTCCTGCCTCTGTAATGGCATATTTATACCAAATAATATTCACATTAATTCTTCCCAACTCCAATATAAATATCTCACTCATGTTTTATGTATAAACCTCACTTCGTACAAAATCAAGCCTTTGAATATGAAACCTTGGAGAATACAAATTTTAAAGAAGAATGTGGTCAAAACTCAATCTCCATTAACATAACCAGCTTTTTATTTAGCATCTTCTAACACACTTCCTCTCTATTAAGAATTATTGTGTGAATGAAGACTTAATGAGAGAATTCCTAATTAAGATACCGAAAAGCTTGATGAACTTTAAGGGATTCTGGAGGCTTTCCCTGATCATTCATCTGGTAATTAAAATGGCAATATCCCAGAAAGCAGAAAATAAAATTCTCTACTATTTTTAATTAAATTAAGTTAGAATTTTCCAGATACATAAAAACAAGTGTTGAAGTCCTTCAAAGAATGTTTACAAACAGTGGAAATTTGTGTTTTGTGTATGTATGTGTGTGTGTGTGTGTGTGTGAGACAGAGAGAGAGAGAGAGAGAGAGAGAGAGAGAAAGAGAGATTGAAAGATTGACAGAGTAGAAGAGGGAGCGAGTGAGCTCAAATACTTGAGCTACCCTAATGATGGAATTTGTTTTTGAAATGCTACACTGCAGTGCAGCCTCTGGGAGCAAAAATAATCTGTGTCAGTTGTGGTGATCCCGAATGGTGTGTTCCAGATTACAGTTACTTGTTAGATCACCTCGATAAGTCCTCTTCAGATACAGAGGAACCTGTGAGCACTGCCTTGTTTTTCCAGGTCTTTTAAGGATTCCCCCTTTGACAGGGTGCAGTTTTATCGCTTGTTTTAGTGGAAAATATTCAAGTTTTCTGACAGGTTTCCACCTTACAAAGGTTCCAGCTTTCATAGATTTTAGTGTTAGTTAGTTCATTATCTAGTATCTCAATCTCCCAAATCTAGGTTTAATGACCTGCCTGTGTGGTGCCATCCCATCCCAGACCTGTGCAATCCTAATGCTGCTTGCCCTGAATTGCCATAGCCTACCTGACCACGACTAACCAGTCCCCCGTAACCTTTCAAACCTTGAGCTCAGGGACCCTAACCATAGTCCTCTTCATCCCGTACATCTCTGGTATCTTGCCCAGCTCCTGGTATATCATGTGCTCCATAAACAATATTATGTACTCGTAAGAGCAATAATTTCTGTTGTGGATTAAAGTACTGTTTAGTAAGGGGAGATATACAAATGGTCAAGTTACTTTACCAATAAAAGAATGTCAATGAGATACTGAACACATTTTACACAATTCAGTTCATCCCTGGCCCAGTCTCCCCGCAAAGGGAAATGGTTAAAAAAAGTTATTATTTGAGAAATGTAATCTATGTTTAAAAGAAAGGAGGTCCTTCAACTAGAATAATGATTGCAGTTGTTGTTAGGTGGTCTCAAGTCACTTTCAACTCACAGTGACCCCTTATGATAGACTAGAACTGCTCTCTGGGCATGAGAGTTAAGTGCTTGGTTACTAGCCAAAAGATGGGTGGTTCGAACCCACCAGCTATTCTACATGCCTAGGAAACCCTTCCACTATGCCATACAGAATCGACTCGATGACACACAACAAAAACAATAACAATCTTTATCAAAGAAGAATGCCAGGGTTTTGTTCTCACAGAGCTGCTGGTGGGTTTGAATTAATTATCTAAAAAAAAGGGGGACAAAGATCCCACCCCTATGCAATCTGAATATCTGTGGAATAAGGGGATGTAGAAAACCCCATTCAGTGAGTGCTGGCATCATGTCAATGAAAACAATGATTAAACTTCAGATGGCTCTAGCACTGCCTTTTAGGAACTTGAATAAATTGAATCTAGAAGATTTCTACAATGGAACATGACAATGTATATGCAAACCAGAAAAACACCTGCTCATCTTATTAAAATGGAGCCCTGATGGTGGAGTGGGTTACATATAGGGCTGCTAACTGCAAGGTCAGCAGTTTGAATCCACCAGCTGCTCCATGGGCGAAAGATGAGATTTTCTGCTCCCATAAGAGTTACTGCCTCAGAAACCCTATATAGGATCGCTATGAGTTGGAACCAACTGGATGGTACACAACCACCATCTCATTAAAATGAGAAAGGTAAAACCCAGAAATGTTTGCCTGTCTTTCTGAAAAAATGGCAATCTGGTGTCAGGATTGGGAAGGAGAAGGGAGAGAAAACGACTGAAATAAGGTGACTTGGGGTAGCTTATTCCAGTGTTACTTTCTCTAAGAGCGTGTGCCTTTTTTACATGAATGAGCTCAAGACCTTTTTATCAAATGTTGCTGGAAAAACTGGGTGTCCACCTGTTGTGGATTGAATTGTATCCCAGAGGCTCTCTGCTCTTGTAAAGATTTACAGCCTCGGAAACCCTGTACAGGGTCACTATGAGTCGGAACTGACTCCACGGCATATCACCACCACCTATGAATGTGACCTTATTTGTAAATATGATTTTTGCAGATGGAATTAAGGTAACACGAGATCCTATTGGAGCAGCTTGGGTCCTAATACAGTACGGCTATTGTCTTTATTAAAAGAGGGGAAGAGACACACAGAGAAAATGGTTCTATGGTGATAGAGGCAGAGATTGGCATTATGCTGCCACAGGCCAAGGAATGCTTGAAGCTACCAGAAGCTGCATCAGTCAAGGAAGGATCTGTTCCTAAAAGCTTTGCCAACACCTTGATTTTGATGTGAGGAAATACATTTCTGTTGTTTTAAGCCTAATTTGTGATAATGTGTTATATGTTGTTGTTTTGTTGTTAAGTGCCGTCGAGTCGGTAGCACTCTAAAATTTTTTGTTAGTACACCTTCTTAAAAATTTATTTTGAGATAGAGATATACACAAAAAGAAAGCAATGAAAACAGAATTCAAAGACAGCAAGGAGAGAAAAGGAGACAGAATCCATAGCTGGTTAAGACTTGGTTCTCAGACTCTGGATTTAGGTAGCTTCTGACCACTATCACCTCACTTCTGACCACTATCACCTCACTGTGGTACCGAGTGCGGAACTCCCTCTCTGCATGGAGTCCAGGAAAGAGGGAAATGTTCTTTAAATAGTGTGGTTAAGTATGCTCACTGTGCTACTCAGTGCCAACATGCCCCATGCAGTCAGCTTCTGAGGGTGTCTCCTACGTGTGCACCCCACCTTCCTGAGTGTACTTTTTAGTATCTAAAGAAAACTTATTTTGTGCTGGGTTTTCGATGTGACTCCTAATCCTACACTTTTTTTTTGTTTAAAAATCTGTTGAGCTGAAGAAACCATGATCTGTGCTAAACTGGAGGACAATCTAGCTAATTTGGGTTTAATGAAAGAAGGTAATCATCCAGTGTCTGAACAGGGTAGCTGAAATAAAGTTCAGCTCCAAAATGACATGTTCCTAACTAAAAAAAATTACATATAAATATATGTATATATCCCCATGTCATGTCCTGATGTGGTGCTGTAGGATCAGCACTGCACTGCAAATCACAAAGTCTGCAGTTCAGACCCACCAGCTGTTCCTCAGAAACCCTATGGTGGTGGTGGCGGTTATGCACTGTGGAGTCAGTTCTGACTCATAGCAACCCTGTACAGGGTTTCAGAGGCTATAAATCTTTATGGGAGCAGAAAGCCTCATCTTTCTCCTGCGGAACTGTGGGTAGTTTCAGACTTCTGACCCTGAGGTTAGCAGCCTAATTCATACCACTGTGCTATCAGAGCTCCTTCAGAAACCCTATAAAGGGTCTCTGTTAGTCAGAATCGACTCAATGGCACTTAACAACAACAATGTAAAACTCAACTCTATAACTATCTACTGTCTAAATCTTGATGTTGCTCTGTGACCACTCTGGCCTCATGTTTTCATTTGTAAAATGTGTGATAGGTTTAAGGGGTTCTTCCAGCTCTCAAATTCTGAATTCTCCAACATTGGAAGTGCATGAAGAGAGCTCTATCTTCCTTACCATCTTTAGAAATTACTCACACAAGGTCCACAAATTCCTGGAAAATCCATGCACCCAGCGGTCAGAATTCAAAATTTATGTCAGAATAGCAAGGAATGTGCCCACAGAAAGTTAAGAACTGTGGCTCTAAAATGTTAGCTGGTTGTTTTTTAATAGGGAGTTCTTGAAAATGCTCTGGCCATTCCAAAAGATCTGAGGAGGAACAGGGTGACCCTCAAATCAACTTCTCTGCTCCTGGGGTAGGCCTTATCACTTTCCTCAGCAACTAGTAAGTATATCAGTGGCGCAGAATATACAAGATCTTAAATTCAAAATAATCGATTTCTCAGTGGTCTCACTGCCACCAGGTAGGACAGTCTTGGAATCCTGGTGTGGCACTGTAAGATAAGCTGTAGGATAAGCACTGGAACTCAAGGTCAGTTTGAACCACAAGGTTAATGGTTCAAACCCACCAACCACTCCTTGGAAATCCTATACAGGGTTGCTATGAGTCAGAACCAACTCAATGGCACTTAACAACAACAGCAATCTCAGTCCACAGCATTCCTCAAAAAACCATAGATTTCCCTAGCTTGATGGGATACCCCAGCTACCTAGAGATCAAGAGGTTGGGAAAATACATGGATGGTATAAGCAAATTCATTGATGGGTGAGGGAAAGACTCTTGTTTATCTTTGGAAATTTTAGTTCAGAGGATTAATTTCTGAGTAGCAAGCTGCAAGCTCTGCAATGCCAGGAATTCAATAAGTAAACTAAGGAAGCCAATGAGTGCCACATGTCTCCTATTAAAAATGGATTCCAAGGGGCCTTGATCAATGGACTAGATAGCAAAGGGGAAAGAACGTCTGGGCTGCTGTCTGTAACGACAGTTGTTTTATTAAAAACAACTTTGGTCAGACTTCCAACAATGTTAGGTCTTTTAAAGGAACAACCTATTAAAGCTTAAAAAATAGTCACAGAGAGATTGAGCCCACCCACAAATCAAGTGCAAAGACCTATTTCTTTCGCAGAGGCATCTTTGCTCTAGCTGCAAGCAGTACCCTCTCTCTGCAGAACAGGCAAGCCTGGAGAGGGCAGGCTGTGTATGTCAGGAGGGGTGGGTCCTGATCCTATACAAAATGGGTTTGAAGGAGGGTTAAGTCAAGGCAGGAAGCATTTGATTCCAGCATGCCACCCACACTGTTCCAAATTCGAGTTGCATTTATATGTAATCTATTTTGACATCCCTTAAAGTTAAGTGAGTCTTAGGGTGTGTTGAACATTTTCCTGTGTAAGTTCTCTTTGCTATGATGACTAAGGAACTTTCTTTCCCTTCTAATTGTTGCTCAGCTGTACAGAGCCCTGATAAACAGAATACATTGCAGTTGTCATATTCTTAAAATACTCTAAGGAAGTGAGGGGAGAAAACTTCAACTTCTAACCACAAGGCTGGTGGTTCAAAGCCTATACAGAGTCACTATGAGTTGGAATCCACTTGATGGCACTTAACAAGACCAACAAACTGGAAAAGAAGCAAGACCCTGTTGTTGAATGGTGACCATGGGAGAACCCTAGATTTCATGCACAAATGTGAATGTTGAAAACACAGAATATGAGATTAAAAGAAAGTGAAAAAAGCATCCCAAAAGTTATGGTATTAGGAATTTGGATACCTATTTGGATCTTATGATTGTTTTGAGTTCAAATATACGATGGCTCCTTTGCTAGGAGAAGTCAAAAGAAGGAAAGAGTTCAGAAACTTGGGAGATAGGAGTTTAGAAATTTACAGCTACAAATACCGAAAAAACCTCAAATTACCTTCACAGGGCACTGAGTAAACAACCAAATGCCTACAATTGGAGTTGCAGCTGGGTTCTTTAGTTCCTCCCTGAAGGCTTCACTGAGCATCTTTTCGGAATTGGTCTCTTTGCTACAATTTATCCTGGAGACCTTCTCATAGCTCAAGAGACCTGAGGGAAAGTTTTCTGGTGATATTTCAGAAATTTAAGTCACATACATACCTCATCTCCATGCATATTTGCCACGTATTTGAACTCTGGAATCCCAATTCTGTGTTCCTTTGGAAACCGTCCCACAATAAGAACCCACAGGTTTCTACCTTTACAGGAAAGAAAAAGAAAAATAAGTTGTCTTTCGAAATGGAAAATGAATTCCCTGGAGAATGAGACTAAGAAACAAAGGATGCTACTTCTTCCGTCTGATTACTTTAACGTCTCGCGACAGCTTAAGTCTGTAGGAAAAGTACCTCTGTACTTATAATGCTTAGTTTACGGACAGCCAAAAGTTTTCAATTTAATGCAGCTATTTAACTTACTGAAGACTTACTTGGCTACACAGATCTTTATTTTTCTAAAATGTCTATATACTTTACTATGGGATTTTAGGATCTTATGGAAATGATCTTGCTAATTCACTTAATTCTTCAAAGGTAAGTGATTAAATGCTGATTGACTGCAAGGATGCTACAACTCACAGTGCAAGGAAATTGTAAAACAACAGCAGCAGCCATCAACTCAGAAAGGGGGTGTTTTAAAGGAGGAAATCCTGAAGCTTGTATTCAAACACTTTAGTGACATTACCCCTTTGCTCTCACTTTGATGTGTGTGAGCAAGTAAGCTGTAAACCACAGTCCTCCTAATAAAGCCCTAGGGGAAATTTCTAAGTCCTAGCTTTGCCACAGGCTGCATTGATTTGAGCAAGAAAGGGCAGAGATAAAGATCTTTGAAGATTTGCTATGAGAAGACATTTCTCCTGAGAATAGCTCTGGTTCAAGTTATCTCAGGTTATCCTTTGTTGTCACCGACTAAGATAGACTATGACCCAAATTTACAAATTATTAACCAATTTTACAAATGAGAACACTGAGCTTCAGAAATATTCAGTCAACTGCTTATATTTGAACAGCCAGTGAGAGGCAGTGGTTTGAGCCCAGAGTGAAGAACTGAACTCCAGTTTATTTGTGTTCTGTTGTTTCCACTAATGAAAACTACCCATCTCTCAATAGGTTTCTCTTTCTAATCAGTAAAATGAAGAGATCGTTTTCAGTTCTAAATTTGGCACTTTTAATGCAAATAGTTTAAAATCAGAGTTTGGGGTATGTTAGATACCTATCATGCATATATATACAAAGTTCAAGTATCTGTGATATCTAAGGCTTATGTGGAGTTTAAGAAGCCAAGAAAGTAATTTAACAACAAATGTAGCACTATAGGATAAGCATTGGACTGTAAGGTCAGTTTGAATTGCAAGGCTGGCAGTTCAAATCCACCACCAGCTCCTCAGAAACCCTATACAGGGTTGCTATGAGTTGGAGCCAAGTCGATGGCGCTGTAGGATAAGCACTGGACTGTTATCACAAGGTTGGTGGTTCAAACCTACCAACCGCTCCTTGGAAACCATACACAGAATGGCTATGAGTCAGAACCAACTTGATAGCACTTAACAACCAGAGAGTTGCTATGAATCGGAATTAACTTGACACACAGCACTGGGCGAATGTTGAGTACGTTTCTGCAAAATTTCAGCTCTAGTTCTTTACATCAGGGATCCCACAGGTCCGGGAGTAATCAGGGGGCATGAAAGATCCAGGGAGATGTACATACTGGATTTGCCTTTATCAACATTTATTCATAACTTATCATAATAGTATTTTAAGGCAATATATCTTGATGGGGTGATGCTTTAAATTAGTAATGACAAGAATACTCAGAAAACATCTATAATATGCAATTTTTCTGATTGATGCCACCTGTTCAGTGCAGAATTCCGTAGGATAAGCTTATATATCCGTTTGTTGTATTTTATCTTATTTTAATTTTTATTGTGGTTCCATACATATACATAACAAAAAATTTTCCATTTCCACCATTTCACATGTACACTTCACATGTTGTGCTATTTATTGAATATATATTGCATGTTCTCTCCCCACGTAAGTATATATATGCTGTTGTTGAGTGCTGTTGAGTTGGTCCCAACTCATAGCGACCCTGTATAGGGTTTCTGAGGCTTTAATTCTTCACGAGAGCAGAAAGTCTCATCTTTCTCCTGTAGAGTGGCTGGTGGACTTGAATCATGGACCTGGCGGTTTGCAGTTGTATCGAGCTACCACATTTTCCATAGTGTAGTGGTTATGATTCGGGCTGCGAACTGCAAGGTCAACAGTTTGAAACTACCAGCCGCTCCGTGGGAAAAAGATGAAGCTTTCTGCTCCCGTAAAGATTTACAGCCTCGGAAACCCTGTATAGGGTCGCTATGGGTCAGAATCGACGGCACTCAACAACAACAACAGCATATATATATGGCTATCAAAAAGCTTGTGGAAAAATTCTGTTGTCTTTTAATTTCAGTTTTCCATGAACGTTATGAAGCCCCTCATATATGTTGTTGTTGTTAGGTGCCATCGAGTCGGTACCAACACATAGTGACCTTATGCACAGCAGAACGACACACTGCCCAATCCTGGGCCAACCTCACAGTTGTTGCCACGCTTGAGTCCATCAATGCTGCCACTTGGCCAATCCATCTCGTTGGGGTCTTCCTCTTTTTCTCTGACCCTCCACCTTACCAAACATGATATCCTTCTCCA